ATATATATATGGGTGCTGAAAATATCTGTACATGAATGAATGAATGAATTACAAAACATATTCTTCCTCTGGACTATCCCTGCTAGTCCGGCCTTCTGTTGAAAAATCGATCTTCAGGTGTATTTTGTTGCAAATTTAATTCGATTTTCGTTTTATATTTGGATTTAATTCCTTGTCACGACTTACGGGAATATTAACCAGATCTAAGGTAGCCATTGGCATATCCAAAAAACGGTACAGTAAAAATAGCTCAAAAGGAATAAGTTACGCAAAGTGCACAGACAAAACCCATGAGTCAGTGGGAAGAGAAGTGAAACACAGTTCCGTGGCACAGGGTGCAGATGCTACCCAAAAGGCCTGCAGCGGAGCGACTCTTTGATCCGACACTGAGAATACAGATATTCTCAACCAAGACAGAAGTGCTCATACAACCCATTTTTGACGGGTATTATGCTAGTAACATATATACATGTCATTGATACACAGAGCAAGAAGACTCATCACTGTATATTAAATTTAGATAATAATAATAATAATAATAATAATAATAATAATATTTAGACAATAATAATAATAGTATTTAAATAATAATAATAATAATAATATTAATAATAATAATAAAAATAATAATAATTAATAATAATAATACAATAATAATAATAATAATAATAATTCCTGGAAGTCCATGCCTCAAGGAGATACAAAAAATTGTCCTCACAAGTACAGCCCACACTTTACGAAGGGCCTTGACTATGTAATTTTTTTTTTTTTTTTTTTTTGTCAGTGGAAAGTGTCATGACGCCATTTTTAACCTTAGGTCCCTGGGCGGGACCCGGAAAGAAATGTGTAAACGCCAGCAATCGTAAGGAAATAATAATAATAATAATAATAATAATAATAATAATAATAATATTTAGACAATAATAATAATAATAGTATTTAGATAATAATAATAATAATAATAATAATAATAATAATAATAGTAGTAGTAGTAGTAATAATCACGATCACAAGTTCCGTAATCCATTAAGGACGTAGGGACATGTACTGCAGCTGAAGCAGCAAAGGTGTGTCTTGGGAAAGAGAGCCTGCCAAAGCCCAACCCACTCCGGGTTGGTTTGAATTCAGAGTTTTACTTCTCTTAGACTGGTTACCAACCAAGGCTATAGAACCCAGTCTGTGGTGCTATTTACACATAGGCGGGGCTGAGAGAAGATGGATTCATGCTTTTGGGGAAAAAATAGTATGTGCGCCTAAGTTAACGTAACAAACTCGACTGAAATTCGAACTTGGATCTCCGAATTACTATCCATTACACCACCGCACATCTCAATATTAACAGTCATATTATTAATTGCCGTGATAATACGCCAGGCACGGATCTCATGGCTTCTGATCTTAATTACCCGGGCGGATTAACATGTACAGGGTGCGATGGATAAATTGTCGTCTAAATGACGTTGTGATGGGGATTTTCAAAACACATATGCGCACAGTTATTTTACATATGTTGCTTTGCATATATTTGCATATATATTTGAATATATATATATATATATGTACATATATATATATATATATATATGTGTGTGTGTGTGTGTATATACATATACATATAAATATATATATATGTGTGTTTGTAATATATATATATATACATATAAATATATATATATGTGTGTGTGTATATGTGTGTGTGTGTGTGTGTGTGTGTGTGTGTGTGTGTATACAGTGTGCGATGGATACATTTTTTTTTTAAATTACGCAAAAATGAAAATAATACTGACATCCCATTATAACAAATTTACCAAAATTCCACAAAAAATATCTTGAAGTACTAAAGAGTAAGTTTATTCAATAAAATCGACATTGGCTTCCAACAGAGCCTCCAGATGACTTCGGAATCTCCTGCATCGCTTCTGGACGGTCTTCTTGTTTAAGTTGGGGAATGCTACCATATTACTTGCCTTCAGTACATCTTTATTTTCACAAAGAGTTTATTTTTTGGGTCGCTCTCTCAACTGCGCCCTACATATAATAATCAAGGGGGTTGCAGTTTGGGGAGTTAGATGGCCAGATGTGATGTGATCCCAGAAATTGACTGACATCTATATCTGGGTCCCCCTCCTAGGGTTTCATGGTGCAGAGTCCTGTTACTAGATATAGGGTCTTCCAGCAGCCACCCACTTGACCCAGAGCAGCACTACCTCCTCAAGGCAATTAATGTGTTGAGTCTAAGGCCCTCACCAACAAATACGGAAGTTCCTTTCTTATCAGATCGATGACAGTGAGTTATCCGAGCTACCGTACCTTCGTAATCACCATTAGACTCATCCAACACTTTCCGATTCTTTTGCCCTCTCCTCAGAATGACAGCCAAACACTCTGAAATGTTCGTATTGGAGTTTCCGGCGCGAATGCCAAGCAGTACATTATGCCGTTTCTAAATTTCTGGCTGAGTGAATTGCATCATGGTATTCTTTTTCTCATAGACGGCGAGGAAAAAATAATCCAAGATCACACATATTTTGCATAGATAAAGCCCTTCGTAAGGTGTTGGCTGTACTTGTGAGTGCAATTTTTTGTATTTCTTTAAGGCATAGGCTATCAGGAATCTCTTCAGTTAGTCTATCGGAACCTTTTCCACTGTATCCGAGGGTTCACGCTACAACTGGAATTATTACTGTCCTCGTGTGCCACACTATTGAGATTTCGATTTCAAGATACTTGTAGGTTGACGGAAACTAGGTAAGTGTTACTGAATGAGGAATAACCCAAACAGAGGTTGGAAATGAAATGGTAATCTTTATAACATCAACAAAATACAATACTCGCCAGCGGCGTGAAGTAGGTAAACCACTGCTAGTCCTGGACTACTTAGACACCATATTACCCCGACTTACAGTAGTGTCTAACGTATTCATGAGGATTAGGACATATACATTATTGTTCATAGTTACAGTATATAACAATTTCAAAGATACATTACAATCTGTATAGACTGTCATGTCAATAAGAAAGCATATCTTTTTTTTTAAGTATTAGTACTATTATTATTAGTATTATACTTCGACTTCCGCTATGGTCACAGTATCTACCAAGTCTGCAGGAAGGCCTAAGGTAGGTAGTGGTGTGTTGTTATGGTTACATTTCAGGATTTGTTTTTCGAACTCCAATAACATTACTAGCAGAGAACGAAGTTTAGCAATTTAAAAACACACACACACATTTTACATAGATAAAGATCTTCGTAATGAGTGGTCTATACTTGTGAGAACAAATTTGTGTATTTCTTTAAGGCATGGGCTACCAGAAATCTCTTCAATGAGTCTATTGGAATCTTTTCCAATCAATCCGAGGGCTCCAACTATAACTGGAATTACTGATATCCCCGTGTGCCACATTTTTGAGATTTCGATTTCAAGATCCTTGTATTTTGATAGTTTTTTTTGAAGATCTTCAAAGATGCATTGCAATCTATAGGGACTGCCATGCCAGTAAGAAGGCACATTCTGTTTTTGTGGTATTATTATTATTATTATTATTATTACTTTATTTCTTTGATTTCTGGCGTGTACACATTTCTTTCCGGGTCCCGCCCAGAGATCTAAGGTTAGAAATGGCATTATGACATTTTCCACTGACCAATTAAAAAAAAAAACAACCAAAAAACACATATATGTTTTACATAGATAAAGCCCCTCGTAAGGTGTGGGCTGTACTCGTGAGAACAATTTTTTCCAGGAATCCCTTCATTGAGTCTACTGGAATCTTTTCCGACCAATCTGAAGGCTCCAACTGCAACAGAGATTGCTGATGTTCCCATATGACACAATTATTATTATTATTATTATTGTTGTTGTTGTTGTTGAATGTTCACACCTGTCGTAACTACTGCCTTATACGAGATACTAGCAGCATGGACCGGCGTTGCCCATGCTTAATTTAAAAATCGTACAACTCATACAGCAATCGCTATCACTTGACTTCAAATATTTTTGCCCTTCCTTGCCTTTAAAGAAGTTCCCTTTGCTGTGCTGATGTTGCTACATGACTTACTTCTTGCCTATCTCATACTGAGAATTTTTTCTAAGCTCTATACTAAACATTAAATCTGTTACGAAAAAAAGACTAAACAAAATGAACACAAAACGATCAGCTTTAAAAAAGAACTCGTAACTGGAAAAACCGAATGAATAAAGAATGTTAACAACAAATACTTTTTCACACCCAACCCAGTTCTGCGGAATCAGAATCAACGTTGAGTTTAAGCAAGCGAATGAGCCAATTGGAGTAAAGTGACATGCAGATTTAAATTTTTCCCACTTGTGACAAATGCAGCTATCAATTTTTTTGGCATGCTATTTAACATTCGTGTCAGTCAGCTGTTGGCTCTCATGCTGGCCAATAGAATCTTCCTGCCTATTCGTGGCAGCCAGCTATTGGCTCTCACTCTGGCCAGTAGAAAATGGCCGCAAACTACATGAAAACTACCGTAGAAGCATGAAAAAATCGACTATTTCCACTATCGATGGGAGTTGGGAAATGCAATGTCGGTCTTGGCCTTCCCGCTAACTTGGAGCATGTGCATGTAAATTTTGGTGCAAATCCATCGAAAATTGCAGCCGTGCGTTCGTTACACGCACACACACACACACACACACACACATCCTGCCTTGTATAGATAGAGATTACACTTCTATTCAAGCCGTCTATACAACAACAGTGCCATGACACATTCAATATTTAATACTATTAATAATTAGAGAAGAGCTCGAATGATGAAAAGAAAAAAAAGACATGATGTTTAACAATGTTTCGACATTAAACACTTAATGTTTTCTTTTTCTTTTCTAAAATAGCATTTTTCTTTAAGAGTTGAAAATATTGGAAAAGTTACGTGAATCGTTTGGCTATTTAGCAATATTAAGAATAATAATATTAATAACATCTGCATATCATTCTCAGTATAGTTTTATGCTAAATATTCTTATTCTTATTTAGGTATGAAGAGAGGGAGAATTAAAGAAAGACTGAGGGATAGAAAAGAAAAGAATGAAAAAGAAGGAGAAAGGAAAGAAAAAAGGAAGTAAAAAGAAAAAGCATAAGGAATAAAGTGAAAACAATAAAGATGAAAGAAAAAGAAAAGAAAAAAGGGAAAAAATGAAAAGGAAAAAGAAAAAGCAAAGGCTAGAAAGAAGAAAGGAAAAGAAAGAAAAGTAAAACGAAAGAAAGTAAAATGAAAGACAAAAACAGGAAAAGGAAAAGGAAAAAGCAAAGGAAATTATGAAGAAAGGAAAAGAAAGAAAAGAAAGTCGAAAGAGAGGAAAATGAAGAGAAAGAAAAAAAAACGAAAAAAGAAAAGGAAAATTCAAAGGAAAAAAGAAAGAAAGGAAAGAAAGAAAATAAAGACGAAACAAAGAAAAAATGAAAGAAAAAGAAACGGAAAAATTAAAGGGAAAAGGGAAAAATGAAATGAAAAAGAAAACGCAAAGAATAAAGAAAAAGCAAAGGAAAGAAAGAAAAAAGGAAAAGAAAGAAAAGAAAGACAAAAGGAAGGAAAAAATGAAACTCAAAATCGAAAGAGAAAAGAAAGAAAGTACGAAAGAAAAATGAAACCGAAAAAGAGAATAAAAGAAAAATGAAAAAAAAGTAGAAAACGAAAGAAATAAAGGAAAGAAAAAGAAAAATATGGAAAGAAAAAAGAAAGATAAAGGAAGAATGAAAGCCGAACAAAGAAAAGACTGAAAATCAAAAGTAAAGAAGAAAGAAAATTCAAAGAAAAGAAAGAAAAATGAAAGTACGAAAAAAAGAACGAAAAATGAAAGAAAAAGAAAAAAGAAAGAAAAATGAAGGAAAAAGAAAAAATTAGAGAAAGGAAACGATAGAAAGAAGAAAGAAAAAATCGAACAAAGGATGTAAAATAAAAGAAAAATAAAGTGAAAAAAGAAAGAAAAAAAGAAAGTAAAAAGAAATAAAAAGGAAAAGAAAGAAAAAAGTTGAAAAAGAATGAATGAAAAATGAAAATAAAAGAAAGAGAAAAAAGTAGTAAATAAATTCGGAAAAGATAGAAAAGGGAAAAGACAGACCGAAAGAAAAAAGCTGGAAAAAGAACGAAAAATCAATGTAAAAGAAAGAGAAGGAAAACAAAATGAAAGAGAAACGAAAATGAAAGGAAAAATAGAAAGAAAAAAGAAATAGAAAAAAGAAAGAAAAGAGTGGAAAAAATGATGAAGATGACGATTTAGAAAATAATAACACTCATAATGACATTAAAAAAAAACCTGTTTATCGGAAGACGCGTCGATTGTTGTCAGTGGATTCCCAGAAGAAGTTTAACTGATTAGGTCAGTTGAACAAAGACGAAATCAGTTGAGGACAAGTCATCACAAGATTTGATCAGAATAAAAACTGACAAAAACCAAACAAAATAAATGTGTTTTTCTTCCCCACCTCCAATTGCCTCCTCCCAGGCCATCACCCTTTCTCCTTGTCGCCTCACCCTTGCGCCATCACACATGTCGTCTTCTTGGACTTCTCCGCCATTTCGTAATGGCCGACCAGGAGAGTAAGGGATCGCGTCACGTCAAGAGCCTCGATGAATTATTGGGCGCGGTACTTCATTATTGCCTTTGCGACTGTCACGATAAAAGATGATTTAAGTCTATAAAGGAATTAGAAGATAACAGAAACTGCCTGCATCCATAATGGGAAGTCAAAGCTATGCTTGATATCCGGCGCATGCGCGTTTAACTAGAGGAATTGGCGTTGAGCTTCGGCTTTTTTTCTTTCTTTCTTTTTTTTGCATGCGTGTTTCTTTAGTTTGTAAAGGTGAAAACGTCTAGATTCTCACGAACGTACATTAATATTATATAAAATCTATACTTAAATATATACCAGCAAGGTTACCTTGTGTTTTCCTTGTATTACGTTCAGGTAAGGCCAGTCATATACAAATTCATGACTCACAATATTACTTTCAATTTAAGTTAATATTTTTGTAACTATTTAAATAAATACATTACACGTGTATAATATCAACATAGCACCATTAACAAGAGTTGCCAATGGCACTTTAAGGTTTCCAGCAGATCCTGTTCCCAAAACTAAAAAAAAATAAAATAAAATAAAAATAAATAAATAAATAAATAAAATAAATAAATAAAAAAAAGAAGCCTAATCAACAAATTATATAAGAAGTGGAGAGATTATATAGAATCAGTCTCTAAATCTTCTGCTAGGAAAGTTGGTTCACTGTGTCGTGCAAGACAATTTTTTTCACAAGAATCTATCTTACATATTTATAAGTCTACCATTCGTCCATGCTTTGGATATTGCTGCAACATATGGCCCAGTGCTTCTGCTAAGTATTTAGTGATTCTTCATAAAATTCAAAGAAGAATCAGCAATATTATTGGTCCTGGCCTGACATCTCGCCTTCGGTCGTTCTCCCACCGCCGTAACGTAGCTTCCGTGTGCCATTTCTATAAATAATTTCATGGTAATTGTTCTAATGAACTTTCCTCTTTGGTACCTAGAATTTATGAATTTAAGCGCAGTACAAAATTAGCGGAAGGTCTCATCCTTTTAAAGTTGAAATGGCTAGATGCAACCGCATGTTCTATGCTAACAGTTTCTTCTCTCGCACTTCTCGCTTGCTTGCTTGCTTGATTGATTCGTTTCTTACGGCTTATCAACCCTTTGCAGGTTATTTAAAGCCAGAAAATATATGCAGATTGTAAGAATTTTTAGAGCAGATAATAATGGTTCACTGACACAAATTCGACTATTGATTGATTGATTCGTTTTCTACGGCTTATCAACCCTTTGCAGGTTATTTAAAGCCAGAAAATATTTGCAGATTGTAAGAATTTTTAGAGCAGATAATAATGGTTCACTGACACAAATTCGACTATTGATTGATTGATTCGTTTTCTACGGCTTATCAACCCTTTGCAGGTTATTTAAAGCCAGAAAATGTTTGCAGATTGTAAGAATTTTTAGGGCAGATAATAATGGTTCACTGACACAAATTCGACTATTGATTGATTGTTTCGTTTTTCTACGGCTTATCAACCCTTTGCAGGTTATTTAAAGCCAGAAAATATTTGCAGATTGTAAAAATTATTTTTCCTTAATAGAGATAATAATAATTTCGTGATAAAAATCTTACTAATTAACTCCTAGCTGGGGGAGAAAAGGTGGATTCATGCTTTTCCCAAGGGTATTTGCGTCTAAGTGAATATAACGAACCCAATTGGAATTGGAACTCGGCTCTCCGATTAACAATTCCGAGCCATTGTCAATTACACCATCCGCACACCCAAGCTTACAGTACCTGGTATTGACAGGCGATCACACATGTAGGTAATGACCATGCTCAACGTTGCTTAACTTTAGTATGAGAACCGGTGTTTCAACGTGATGTGGCCGTAAGACGCCGATTTTAAATGTGGGGCAGCCAGTATACGAAGATATATATATATATATATACACACCAGTCAGTGGTAATTCTCATAACGACCCACGTCCGAGTAAAATAGAAATATTACTAAAAAAAAAAAAATAGGAAGTAGTGGAGAGCCATGATAACTGACGATCTGGAAGGCTACGGCACTTGAATGAAGAATCGAGAAAGAAATACAATAGGTCAGGATGTTTTCCAACCCATTTTCAACTATTTTTTAATCACTTAACCCTAATCAAGGCAATAAAGCCACTAAGATGCAAGGAATTACTGAGTGTTAGGGAATATGTGAAAATGTGAAAGATACTATTAAGGAGAGAGAACAATAAAAGAACAAGAATTAAGAAGACGGAAGATAGCGATTGACATTGCATTAAAATTTTTGAAAATCAATATTGGCTGGAAAGCAAGAACCTGCAAGAGAATTCCACAAGCAAGAACGGCGATAGAAATTGACTGCTAGCATAGAACTTACGTGTCCATCTAGCCAATTCAACTGTAAATTCATGAGACCTATCCGCCAATCCAGTACTGTGCTTAAATTCAAAAGTCTAGATACCATACAGGAAGAATTACCATGAAAGTATGTATAAAAAAAGTAAAAGTGAAGTTTCGTTACGGCGGTGGGACTGAAGCCAAGATGCCAGATTAGGATCAATAACTTTGCAGATGTACTAAAATTATTCGTAGTCAAATTTAATTGGTAAATATAATAAACTCTAATGGAATTCGAAACCGGCTCTCTGCTTCCTCAATGTGATCAGCTGACAGTTACTCTACCTTGCTGGCACGGTGCTTAAAATATTTGAAGTCTAGGTACCAAAGAGGAAAGTTCATTCGGACAATTACCATGAAAATTTTTGTAGAAAAGGCACAGGGAAGCATCGTTATGGCGGTGGGAAAGTGACTGAAGCGGATTTAATTCACATTACAACTCGTCAGTTGAACAAATTCATTGTTACAAGAGATTTTTTTTTTTGCATTGGATTTATAAAAAATATACATTATGTTTGGAAATGACTGCATTAATCATAATGGATATATATATATATATATATATATATATATATATATATATATATATATATATATATATATTTTGCTATGAGGTCGGAAAAAAATTATAAAATTAGTTTCTGTTCTAGCGTTCAAATAATCGAAAAGAAAAAGAAGATAATTCAAAGAATTCGGTTATTCCTTTTAGTGTCAGATTTTTTTTTCTTTTGCAATTTCTCTGATTCTCTTGTCGCTTGTATTTGTTGATTTATTCGTCATACTATTTAGATATCAGAAAGATGACGTTGATGTCCAAGATGGCGGCCAAAATGATTTGTTGGTCAACAAAAGGCGGGAAACGCGCAAAGCGATGTCAGTATCTATTAAATCCGGGTTACAACGGTCAATTTCGCTAAGGCGGGGCGGGAATCAACCTTGAAGGGGGTCTCTGTAGTTTTGTAAATGGCATCGGGTGTTTATATCTTTAAAAACAATCGGCAATTTCGGAAAGAAATAAAAAGCCGGGAAATAAATTAGGAAAAAGGGAAGAGGAGGGGAACACAAAGGACGGAATTGAAAATTGGATAAAAAAGAAAAGATTTTGAAAAAAAGATGGAACGATAAAGGAAAGGGGAAAAGACTACGATTTGGTTCGTGGCGAGAAATAAATAAAAATGAAAGAAAGAAAGAGAGAGAGAGAGAGAGGGAAGGAGAGAGAGAAAGAGAGAGAGAAGGAAAGAGAGACTGATAGAGAGGTGAGAGATTGAGAAAGAGAGATAGAGAAGGAGAGAGAGAAAGAGAGAGAGAAGGAGAGAGAGAGACTGATAGAGAGGTGAGAGATTGAGAAAGAGAGATAGAGAAGGAGAGAGAGAAAGAGAGAGAGAGAAGGAGATAGAGACTGATAGAGAGGTGAGAGATTGAGAAAGAGAGATAAAGAAGGATAGAGAGAAAGAGAGAGAGAAGGAGACAGAGAGACTGATAGAGAGGTGAGAGATTGAGAAAGAGAGATAGAGGAGGAGAGAGAGAAAGAGAGAGAGAAGGAGACAGAGAGACTGATGGAGGTGAGAGATTGAGAAAGAGAGATAAAGAAGGATAGAGAGAAAGAGAGAGAGAAGAAGAGAGAGACTGATAGAGAGGTGAGAGATTGAGAAAAGTGAGATAAAGAAGGATAGAGAGAAAAGAGAGAGAGAAGAAGAGAGAGACTGATAGAGAGGTGAGAGATTGAGAAAGAGAGATAAAGAAGGATAGAGAGAGAGAGAGAGAGAAGAGAGAGAGAGACTGATAGAGAGGTGAGAGAGATTGAGAAAGGGGAGATAAAGAAGGATAGAGAGAAAGAGAGAGAGAGAAGAGAGAGAGAATGATAGAGAGGTGAGAGATTGAGAAAGAGAGATAAAGAAGGATAGAGAGAAAGAGAGAGAGAAGAGAGAGAGACTGATAGAGAGGTGAGAGATTGAGAAAGTGAGATAAAAGAAGGATAGAGAGAAAGAGAGAGAGAGAAGAGAGAGAGACTGAGAGAGAGGTGAGATTGAGAAAGTGAGATAAAGAAGGATAGAGAGAAAGAGAGAGAAGAAGAGAGAGACTGATAGAGAGGTGAGATTGAGAAAAGAGAGATAAAGAAGGATAGAGAGAAAGAGAGAGAGAAGAAGAGAGAGAGACTGATAGAGAGGTGAGAGATTGAGAAAGAGAGATAAAGAAGGATAGAGAGAAAGAGAGAGAGAAGAGAGAGAGACTGATAGAGAGGTGAGAGATTGAGAAAGTGAGATAAAGAAGGATAGAGAGAAAGAGAGAGAGAAGAGAGAGAGACTGATAGAGAGGGAGAGAGATTGAGAAAGAGAGAGAAAAGAAGGATAGAGAGAAAGAGTGAGAGAAGAAGAGAGAGACTGATAGAGAGGTGAGAGATTGAGAAAGTGAGATAAAGAAGGATAGAGAGAAAGAGAGAGAGAAGAAGAGAGAGAGACTGATAGAGAGGTGAGAGATTGAGAAAGTGAGATAAAGAAGGATAGAGAAAAAGAGAGAGAGAAGAAGAGAGAGACTGATAGAGAGGTGAGAGATTGAGAAAGTGAGAAAAAGAAGGATAGAGAGAAGAGAGAGAGAAGAAGAGAGAGAGACTGATAGAGAGGTGAGAGATTGAGAAAGAGAGATAAAGAAGGATAGAGAGAAAGAGAGAGAGAAGAAGAGAGAGAGACTGATAGAGAGGTGAGAGATTGAGAAAGAGAGATAAAGAAGGATAGAGAGAAAGAGAGAGAGAAGAAGAGAGAGAGACTGATAGAGAGGTGAGAGATTGAGAAAGAGAGATAAAGAAGGATAGAGAGAAAGAGAGAGAGAAGAAGAGAGAGACTGATAGAGAGGTGAGAGATTGAGAAAGTGAGATAAAGAAGGATAGAGAGAAAGAGAGAGAAGAAGAAGAGAGAGAGACTGATAGAGAGGTGAGAGATTGAGAAAGAGAGAGAGAAGAGGAGAGAGAGAAAGAGAGAGAGAAGAAGAGAGAGAGACTGATAGAGAGGTGAGAGATTGAGAAAGAGAGATAAAGAAGGATAGAGAGAAAGAGAGAGAGAAGAGAGAGAGACTGATAGAGAGGTGAGAGATTGAGAAAGAGAGATAAAGAAGGATAGAGAGAAAGAGAGAGAGAGAAGAGAGAGAGAATGATAGAGAGGTGAGAGATTGAGAAAGAGAGATAAAGAAGGATAGAGAGAAAGAGAGAGAGAAGAAGAGAGAGAGATGAGAGAGAGGGAGAGATTGAAAGTGAGATAAAGAAGGATAGAGAGAAAGAGAGAGAAGAAGAGAGAGACTGATAGAGAGGTGAGAGATTGAGAAAGTGAGATAAAGAAGGATAGAGAGAAAGAGAGAGAGAGAAGAGAGAGAGACTGATAGAGAGGTGAGAGAGATTGAGAAAGAGAGATAAAGAAGGATAGAGAGAGAGAGAGAGAGAAGAAGAGAGAGAGACTGATAGAGAGGTGAGATTGAGAAAAAGAGAGATAAAGAAGGATAGAGAGAAAGAGAGAAGAGAGAGAGACTGATAGAGAGGTGAGAGATTGAGAAAGAGAGATAAAGAAGGATAGAGAGAAAGAGAGAGAAGAGAGAGACTGATAGAGAGGTGAGAGATTGAGAAAGAGAGAAGGATAGAGAGAAAGAGAGAGAGAAGAGAGAGAGACTGATAGAGAGGTGAGAGATTGAGAAAGAGAGAGAAAAAGAAGGAGAGAGAGAAAGAGAGAGAAGAAGAGAGAGAGAGAGATAGAGAGGTGAGAGATTGAGAAAGAGAGATAAAGAAGGATAGAGAGAAGAGAGAGAGAAGAGAGAGAGAGACTGATAGAGAGTGAGAAATTGAGAAAGTGAGATAAAGAAGGATAGAGAGAAAGAGAGAGAAGAAGAGAGAGAGAGACTGATAGAGAGGGTGAGAGATTGAGAAAGAGAGATAAAGAAGGATAGAGAGAAAGAGAGAGAGAAGAAGAGAGAGACTGATAGAGAGGTGAGAGATTGAGAAAAGAGAGATAAAGAAGGATAGAGAGAAAGAGAGAGAGAAGAGAGAGAGACTGATAGAGAGAGGTGAGAGATTGAGAAAGAGAGAAAGAAGGATAGAGAGAAAGAGAGAGAGAAGAAGAGAGACTGATAGAGAGGTGAGAGATTGAGAAAGAGAGATAAAGAAGGATAGAGAGAAAGAGAGAGAAGAGAGAGAGACTGATAGAGAGGTGAGAGATTGAGAAAAGAGAGATAAAGAAGGATAGAGAGAAAGAGAGAGAGAAGAGAGAGAGAGAGACTGATAGAGAGGTGAGATTGAGAAAGAGAGATAAAGAAGGATAGAGAGAAAGAGAGAGAGAAGAGAGAGAGACTGATAGAGAGGTGAGAGATTGAGAAAGAGAGATAAAGAAGGATAGAGAGAAAGAGAGAGAGAAGAGAGAGAGACTGATAGAGAGGTGAGAGATTGAGAAAGAGAGATAAAGAAGGATAGAGAGAAAGAGAGAGAGAAGAAGAGAGAGACTGATAGAGAGGTGAGAGATTGAGAAAGAGAGAGAAAGAGGAGGAGAGGAGAAAGAAAGAGAGAGAAGAGAGAGAGAGAGACTGATAGAGAGGTGATTGAGAGAAAGAGAGATAAAGAAGGATAGAGAGAAAGAGAGAGAGAAGAAGAGAGAGAGACTGATAGAGAGGTGGAAGATTGAGAAAGTGAGATAAAGAAGGATAGAGAGAAAGAGAGAGAGAAGAAGAGAGAGACTGATAGAGAGGTGAGAGATTGAGAAAGAGAGATAGAGGAGGAGAGAGAGAAAGAGAGAGAGAAGGAGAGAGAGAGACTGATAGAGAGGTGAGAGATTGAGAAAGAGAGATAAAGAAGGATAGAGAGAAAGAGAGAGAGAAGAAGAGAGAGAGACTGATAGAGAAGGAGAGAGTGAAAGAGAGAGAAGGATAGAGAGAGACTGATAGAGAGGTGAGATTGAGAAAGAGAGATAGAGAGGAAGTAAATTGGAAAATATGAAAGGATTAACAAAGAAAGAAGAATATATATATATATATAAACAAATCATTAAATAAATTAGGCTAAAGAAGAAAAATTGCTAGAGAAAGAACAGAAAAAGAGAGAAAGAAATGTAAAAGAACATGCAGAAAAAAAGAAAAGAAGGTTTTAGAGAAAAGAGAAAGAAAGAAAGAACATACTGCGGAAAGAAGAAAAAATAGAAAAAGAAAGACCAAAAAAAAAAAAAAAAGAAACAGAAAGAAAGAAGAAAAGGAAGAGAATTTGCAAGAGAAAAAAAGAAAAGATTTTAGAGAAAAAAGGATAAAGAAAGAAAAAAAGAAAGAAAAAGAAAGAAAGAAAGAAAGGAAAAAAGAAAGAAAGAAAGAAAAAAGAAAGAAAGAAAGAAAAAAGAAAGAAAGAAAGAAAGAAAGAAAAAGAAAATAGAAAGAAAGGAAAAGAGAAAAAGAAAGAAAGAAAAAAGATAGAAAGGACATGCACTGATAAGAAGAAAAATCAGAAACGAAGAAGAGAAAAAAAAGGAAGCAGGAATTTGCAAGAGAAAAAAAGAAAGACAGAATATGGAAAAAAAAAAGAAAAGATTTTAGAGAAAAAGAAAGAAAGAAAAAAAGACAGAAAAAGAAGTGAAAGAAAAAAAGAAAAAGAAAAGAAAGAAAGAAAAAAAAGAGAGAAGAAAGAGAAAGAAAGAAAGAAAGAAAGAAAAAAGAAAGAAAGGAAGAAAGAAAAAAGAAAGAAAGAAAAAAGAGAGAAAGAGAGAGACTGATAAGAAGAAAAAAGAGAAACGGAAAGACAAAAAAAGAAGGAATTTGAGAAAGAGAAAGAAAAAGAAAGACAGAATATGAAAAAAAAAAGAAAGATTTTAGAGAAAAAAAGATAAAGAAGGAAAGAAAAAAGAAAGAAAAAAGAGAGAGAAAAATAAAGAAAGGTGAGAAATTGAAAAGAGAGAAGAAGGAAAAAGAGAAAGAAAGGAAGAAAGAAAAAAGAAAGAAAGAAAGAAAGAAAAAAAAGAAAAGAAAGAAAGAAAAAAAAAAGAAAGAAAAAGATAGAAAGGACATGAGAGATAAGAAGAAAAAAAATCAGAAACGGAAAGAGAAAAAGGAAGAGGAATTTGCAAGAGAAAGAAAAAAGAAAGACAGAATAGAGAAAAAAAGAAAAGATTTTAGAGAAAAAGAGAAAGAAAGAAAAAAAAAGAAAGAAAAAGAGAGAGAAAGAAAGAAAGAAAGAAAGAAAAAAATAAAGAAAGAAAGAGAAAAAAAAGAGAGAAAAAAAAGAAAGAAAGAAAAGAGAGGAAGAGAAAAAGAAAGAAAGAAAAAAGATAGAAAGGACAGACTGAAAGAAGAAAAAAGGAAAGAAAGACAAAAAAAGAAGTGAGAGATTGAAAAGAGAGAAAAAAAAGAAAGACAGAAGAGAGAAAAAAAAAGAAAGATTTTAGAGAAAAAGAGAAAGAAAGAAAAAGAAAGAAAAAAGAAAGAAAAAAAGAAAGAAAGAAAGAAAGTAAAAAAGAAAAAAGAAAGAAAAAAGAAAGAAAGGAAAAAGAAAAAAAAATGAAAGAAAGAAAAAAAAAGAAAGGAAGAAAGAAAAAAATAAAGAAAGAAAAAAATAAAAAGGACAAAGAAGAAAAAAAAAAAAAAATCAGAAAAAAAGACAAAAAAAAGCAGAAGAACAAGAGAAAAAAAGAAAAGAAGGAATATGGAAAAAGAAAAAAGAAAGAAAAAAAATACTCAAAGAAAAAAAAAAAGAAAAAAAAGAAAAGAAAAACCAAAAAAAAAAAAAAACAAAAAAGAAAGAAAGAGAAAGAAAAAGAAAGAAAGGAATATGAAAAAAAATAGAAAGAAAAAAAAAGTAAAATTGAAAAAAAAAGAAAGAAAAAGAAAAAGAAAGAAAGAAAAAAGAAGAAAGGACATGCACTGATAAGAAGAAAAAAAAATCAGAAACGGAAAGACAAAAAAAAGCAGGAATTTGCAAGAGAAAAAAAAAGAAAAGGAAAAAAAAAAAAGATTTTAGAGAAAAAAAGCCCCAAAGAAAGAAAAAAAGAAAGAAAAAAGAAAGAAAAAGAAAGAAAGGAAAAAAAAAAGAAAGAAAGAAAAAAAAAGAAAGAAAAGGAAGAAAAAAAAAAAAGAAAGAAAGAAAGAAAGAAAAAAGAAAGAAAGAAAGGAAGAAAGAAAAAAGAAAGAAAGAAAAAAGATAGAAAGGACATGCACCGATAAGAAGAAAAAATCAGAAACGGAAAGACAAAAAGGAAGCAGGAATTTGCAAGAGAAAGAAAAAAGAAAAGACAGAATATGGAAAAAAAAAAAGAAAAGATTTTAGAAAAAAAGCCTCAAAGAAAGAAAAAAAAAAAAAAAAAGAAAGTAAAAAAAAGAAAGAAAAAAAAAAAGAAAGAAAGGAAAGAAAGGAAGAAAGAAAAAGAAAGAAAGAAAGAAAAAAAAAAAAAGAAAGAAAGGAAGAAAGAAAAAAAGAAAGAAAGAAAAAGATAGAAAGGACATGCACTGATAAGAAGAAAAAAATCAGAAAAACGGAAAGACAAAAAGGAAGCAGGAATTTGCAAGAGAAAGAAAAAAGAAGACAGAATATGGAAAAAAAAAAAGATTTTAGAGAAAAAAAAGCCTCAAAGAAAGAAAAAAAGAAAGAAAAAAGAAAGTAAAAAGAAAGAAAGAAAGAAAGTAAAAAAAAAAGAAAGAAAAAAAAAAAAAAGAAAGGAAGAAAGAAAAAAGAAAGAAAGAAAGAAAAAAAAAAAGAAAGGAAGAAAGAAAAAGAAAGAAAAAAAAGATAGAAAGGACATGCACCGATAAGAAGAAAAAATCAGAAACGGAAAGACAAAAAAGGAAGCAGGAATTTGCAAGAGAAAGAAAAAGAAAGACAGAATATGGAAAAAAAAAGAAAAGATTTTAGAGAAAAAAGCCTCAAAGAAAGAAAAAAAGAAAGAAAAAAGAAAGTAAAAAGAAAGAAAGAAAGAAAGTAAAAAAGAAAGAAAGAAAGAAAAAAGAAAGAAAGGAAGAAAGAAAAAAGAAAGAAAGAAAGAAAGAAAAAAGAAAGAAAGGAAGAAAGAAAAAAGAAAGAAAGAAAAAAGATAGAAAGGACATGCACCGATAAGAAGAAAAAATCAGAAACGGAAAGACAAAAAAGGAAGCAGGAATTTGCAAGAGAAAGAAAAAGAAAGACAGAATATGGAAAAAAAAAGAAAAGATTTTAGAGAAAAAAGCCTCAAAGAAAGAAAAAAAGAAAGAAAAAAGAAAAAAAAAAGAAAGAAAAAAAAAAAAAAAAGAAAGAAAGAAAGTAAAAAAAAAGAAAGAAAGAAAAAAAAAAGAAAGAAAGAAAGAAAGAAAAAAGAAAAGAAAAGGAAAGAAAGAAAAAAGAAAGAAAGAAAAAAGATAGAAAGGACATGCACCGATAAGAAGAAAAAATCAGAAACGGAAAGACAAAAAAGGAAGCAGGAATTTGCAAGAGAAAGAAAAAGAAAGACAGAATATGGAAAAAAAAAAAGATTTTAGAGAAAAAAGCCTCAAAGAAAGAAAAAAAGAAAGAAAAAAGAAAGTAAAAAGAAAGAAAGAAAGAAAAAAGAAAGAAAGGAAGAAAAAAGAAAGAAAGAAAGAAAAAAGAAAGAAAGTAAGAAAGAAAAAAGAAAGAAAGAAAAAAGATAGAAAGGACATGCACCGATAAGAAGAAAAAATCAGAAACGGAAAGAAAAAAAAGAAAGCAAGAATTTGCAAGAGAAAGAAAAAGAAAGAGAACATGAAAAAAAGAAAAGATTTTAGAGAAAAAAGAAAAAAAAGCTCAAAGAAAGAAAGAAAGAAGAAAGAAAGAAACTACACTGGAAGAAGAAAAAATTAGAAAAGGAAAGACAAAAAAAGATGCAAGAATTTGCAAGAGAAAGAGAAAAAAAGAATCTGCTGTCGATTTTATAAAATAAATAAAAATAAGAAAAGATAAAAAACGAAAGAAAGAAAGAAAAAAGAAAGAAAGAGGAGTTTAAGAAAGAAAGAGAGAAAAATGAAAATACAGAAAGGAGGAAAGAGAGTTTAAGAACCAAAAAAAGAAAGAAAGAAAAAAGAAAAGGAAAGTAAATAAGAAAGAGAAGCGACAGTAAGAGAGTTTCTGAAGAACGGAAAGAAGATTTTATTAAAGAAAATATGAAAAAATAGAAAAAAAATGAAATAAAATAGCAAAAGAAAGACCTTTGTAAGAAAGAAAGAAAGAAAGAAAGAAAGAAAGAAAGAAAGAATAATTAGTGTCCAGTCATTCAATTTCCCGGATGATGTAAATAACGAAATATTACAAAAGTCAACAGAATTCGCAGACTTTTTTTTTCGGTGTTATTTTTATGCTGCAAGTTAAAACTGCTACAAGAGCCGGGTCAATTTTATTTTATTTCTTTCTTTTTCTTTTTTTTTTTTTTCAACGTATGGTACGCATAAAAACGTCGCTTTCAGTGTTATATGAAAGGTTGTAAAGAAACAGCTGACGATCGATTCAGGATAACCCTTATTCTTATATTTGTGGGTAGGGATGTTTGGTGGACTATTCACGCTACGAGACAGCAAACAATAATGAACGAGCCGTGTAAATAACCAGCCATTCGGTTGTATAGTCACGTTTATCTCATTCCCAACGCCCGTCCTCTTGCGGAGCTCGATTCTCTGACTCAAGGGGAGACAACTCATACCCCAGTAAGCCAAGAATATGGCACTGCGATCCTCTGGTCGAATGGCGTTTATATTTAATTATTTTGAAGATCACATTATTTTTAGTCAATCTTCGAGTATAGAGAGGTATGGCGACAGGGATAGAAATACATTTTCTTCTTCCCTGTTCCGTGTCCCTTCAGGACATGGGGGATCATAGCACTATATCACTCCCTGTCATTTGTAGTTTTGACCAATGTATGTCTTTTTGGTATCTCTTGTAATCCTTGTATTGTCAAGCATTTAGAAAAAATTACTACATAGTCTAATAGCCTGTCGCTTTTGCCTTCAGGATATCCTATTATTTTCAAATCCTCACCCTTAAGTCGTCTTTCCCCATTATATTCCCTCGAAATATCATCTGTCTTTTTGCAATTAGACGTACAAGTATCCATTTTGTTTCCTTGTGCCCACTTGTTCATTCCATACATACATACATATATATATATATATATATATATATATATATATATATATATATATATATTCAATATAATTATAATAATTATATTGAAGTTTTCAGCTGTTGTTTTTGAAACATGAGAACTCTTATGTAGCGAAGGAATCATATTTTTAAAAAATATATATATATATATATATATATATATATATATACGTAAGGAAATTGGAGTCCTTAGAAATCCATTAGTAATATTTTATTTCACGGGACCAGACCCCATCTCTTCAGACCAAAACCTTTATAACAATATCTATGTATGTATGTATGTATGTATATATGTCTCTCTCTCTCTCTCTCTATATATATATATATATATATATATATATATATATTTCATTAAATAATATCGACAAGTTTTGTCTATTTATTTTATGCAAATTCCTTTCATATCGTCTGATGAGCTTAATAACATTATCATTTAAAGACAAAAGAAAATTACCATATTAATACATGTTTTTTAATCCTATCTAAGCTTTCGGCTTACATAAGCCATTATCAAAGATGACAATTACATTACAATATATTAACCAATACACGGGCATGACAATAATGATAGTCTGTTTTTATTTGCATGGAAGATTTCCAAGCAACGAAAAACTCGTGCATACGAGACGCTGGAAGCAAAAATCGCACCGCGGCTCATGACGTCACACATGATCACGCGAGAGTGAAAACGAGCAATGTTAAGTATGGGAAGCCGTTGGCATTAACAAATGGTTTCTGTTATCAATTACAGGTATTTGAGTATATTTATGGAGTTTTCAATGATAATGTTATTAAGCTTATCAGACGATATGAAAGGAATTTGCATAAAATAAATAGACAACATTTGTTTATATTATTTAATGAAGCATGCATCAAAGAAAAATACATCCTACACACACACACACGCACACACACACACACAAATGTTAATGGTTAGAGTTGAATTAGACGAGGAAACAGTCGTATTAAAAAAATTCTCAATACACTTATAAATATATAAAAAATTCACACTTACAGCTTTTATGTATAAAAATTAGGAGATCAGCCGATTCCGCTATTTTGGTTTCATCCTTTCGGTATCTTCAGGCGATATTCATTGCCTTAAAGATCACAAATAAAGTCAACGCACTATATATATATATATATATATATATATATATATATATATAAGCAAGTGTAAATGGATATAAATCCGACAGAATGAAGAAAAATTTTTGAAAAAACAAACAAAAATCCTTAAATGTAGTTAAAATTAAAGAAATGTCGACGTCTGACGTTTCGGTTTAATAAACCTTTTTCAAGACAATATTCATTAAAATACAATTCAGTTCAATATGACAAATACGATGGACATAAAACACAAGTCTTATTCAAAACAGATAACTGAAAATTTTAAAATGATAATGGCTAAAGGTATAGCCGAAAGCGCTCGGAAATATAGAACATTCGGACAGTTCTTATACACTCTTAGTCCAGAAAAGAAAGCTCTTGTCAGAACACAAGAAAAATTAAATAAAAAGCTCAACCGTAGTACCTTGTCTGTCGTTTTTAATGAAACATGCATAAAGGAAGGATTGCTGCCTAAATATACAAATATATATATATATATATATATATATATATATATATATATATATATATATATTATGAAATGGAGTTAGACAATTATTTTTATATATTCACTATTTATCCGTTATTTTCTACATACAAATATTTAAGTAAATGCTCTCTTTATAATAAGCAGTATTTAGAACATTTACCGGCCTGAATCTCCGAGAAATTTCAGAAAAAATGAAATACATACATACATATATATATATATATTAGCTCTATCTCTGATATTGAGCGCTTTCTAATAAGTACCGCGCATATAATATATAAATAATTATACATATATATATTTGTTTATATTTATATACACTTTTCACACACACACACACACACACACACACACACACATACATATATATATATATATATATATATATATATATATATATATATATATATATATATATGTCTCTTTCAATAATTTAGACATATTCTGCCTATTCATTTTCAATAGGATCC